TTTTTCTAATTGTCTTAAGAGCATGTCTTTTCTGAGATGCTTGTGAGTCCCTTGGTTTTTGCTGCGGCCTCCTCCATCACAAGGTTTTCTTTTGGCCAATTTGTGTTTCAGGCGCTCAAAAAGCTTTGATTTTCCGAGTGTTGTTGTGGCTGTTTTCCTTCCGCTTACAAGATCCTAACACTGCTATATACGATCACCATATGATGGCAAATAAGCCTTTCATTGTTCATCTGTCATCAGCTGTGTGGTGCTGTCATCAATCTAAACAAGGACAGTGGAATTGTTTTAAAAACAGCAATCCTGATTGGATAACTTAATCATTTCTGATAATATTTAGTTATCTACAGTTTAATGAAACAGTAAAATAACAAGTGCTGCAGGGACGTCCTGGTTTACACATATTCTGCAGGCTTAAGAAAACTTATTTTCTGGGTCCAGATTACTGCAAAACCTCACACCATAATCGTTTTCATATTTAATCAATGGAAATAGTGACAGTGAGGGGATGTGCTCATTCGTGCAGCTCCATGGTCTGCTTTCAGAATTCAAAGTGACTAGTTGCCATTTACAATGTTTTAAGGGAGGAGTAGTTCCTTTACTCTCAAAACTATTATGGACACAGCCTTTGCCTTTTTCCTTTTTAAAAGTTTTTTTCTCGTTCCAACTTAAATGCTCACAGTCAGTCCTAGGGGCCGGTTGTCCTTGCGTCTCATGCTTTTATGTTTTTCTCTCTCTTTCTCAGGAGGTCCTCCTGATGTGGGCAAGATGCTGGGTGGGGAGGAGAAGGAGGAGGACCCCGACGCAGCCACGAAAGAGGAGGAGCGACAGGAGGCGCTGAGGCAGCAGGAGGAGGAGAGGAAGGGCAAATATGCCAAGATGGAGGCTGAGAGGGAAGGCATGAGGCAAGGCATCAGAGATAAGGTACAATAGTATGCTGTATAATAAGTTAATGGATAATTGAAATACTAATAAAGTTCACACAAGGAATCAAGTCAGAGTCTCGAAAACAACCACTAATACAAAGAAATGAAAATGTATTAATAGAATTGTGAACACTAAACTCTAAAATTGTGTCAAATCCATTGTAAGAAGTTTTGATGACTTTGGATGCCGTCCCGTCTATTTATGTTTCAGTAGCTTCTAAAGGCGTCTCATCTTGGCTGCATGACAGCAAAACCCTTTTTTTTTTTTTTTTTCTAACAACAGACCCGTGTTTGAAATAGACTATCATCAGACTATTTTTGTGTGCTTTTATGTAATTTTTAAATAGATCAGTGGAAAATCAGGAAGGAGCGGTGCAGAACTGAGAGAAATGAGGAGCCATGATTAATACGAATACATTTGAATTTAAATGGTTGGCTCAGAGAGGACTGCTTTAGAAATGCAAACTGCTATCTGAATTCTTCTTCAGGAAATTGTTTCAATTCGTCAGGCACGACTGTAACAACATTGTGTTATATGTACAGCATGATATCTCATTTCGTAGGTTTTTGATATTTTTTTTTTGCATTTTCTGACTAAACCACAATGTCCCGTAATGACTGAATGAGCATTAGTATGCTTTTATTGTCTACAGTTAGTGCAAGTGTTCACTTTAAGCTCCCCTCTCCACAAATGTGAGGCTGTGGGCCTGCTGTGATGGTATATAGAGGCTGCAGTGTAACCACCTCACTGCAGAGGCAGTGCGAAAGACAGGCAGACTGTGGGTGGGGCAGGTCTGAGGGGAATACTGTGAATCAGCGGGATGAAAAGTGGCACTCCTTCCCTGGCTCCTCACCTCCTCTATTCCTCCCAAGTTCTCCCTGAGCAAGGAACGACTCCCGAAGTGCTCGTTACTGAGGGGTTTCTGTCAGCTTCCTCCACAGCTTTGTCCCGCTGTGCCACAAACTGCGAGAAATCTCCATATTACAGCTGTGTTATCCAGATGTTGGGAAATAGAATGACACCCAAAACTGACACCCAAAACTGATGCCACCCATCAGATGGGTGGCATCAGTTTCCAAAGCTGGTGTGATTATTGTTGTGTGACTTTTCCAACAAATACATACTGCGTGTTTTAGACCATTTTTTGACATATTCCATAGCTTTGCTGAAAGACACAGACGGGAACAAGAGGAAGACAACGATGAAGGGTTAGCAGCTGCTCAAATTACAGGAACACAGGGAAACGGCTCCATGGGATGATGGGCAAATCTCAACGTTCAGTATAGGATATGGACGGATGAGTAGCAGTGCATGTGCATTATGTCGTATTCATGTTATATTGGAGTCATCATAATTACAATTTACCAACTCACATCCCCAAATGAGTGGTTATCACAATTAAACGCTGTTTCCGAGCAAATCACATCACCCGCAGACCATCATTCAATTTAATTAAATCCATCCATTGAATGTAGCGTTACATGATCAATGTGCAGTGTTTTTCAACACACATGCCAATCTGTATTACATCCCATGCTCACGATGCTTCAAGCAGACATGTTGGCCTCAGCAGAAATTGGTGTCAAGCTTTCCAGGGCAGAGGGCAACTCCATTGTTACAGCTGCAATAAAAGATGTTTTTGGCCTCTTGAACTCCACAACAGCTAAAAGCATCAAAGGAACAGCACTGGGAGGCACAGCGATTGTTGGTTTAGCGGCCATAGTAGAAACAACAGGTCATGTGACACACTTGGAACCAGACAGCAACCATCGCAAAAGAAAGTTTGAAATATTGAAGCCGTGATAATACCACACCCAGCAGAACCAATCACTAAGCCACTAAATGCAAAGTTTACAGACAACAATGCATCAAATAACAAAATAATGTCTCACATTTGTGTTACTGCCAATGTAGTTATGCATTTACTTTGCACCCTTCGCTCTTCTAACTTTTAACATATTTATTTGTTAACATATTTGTTAACATATTAATTTATTTGTTGAACCAACAGTATGGCTTGAAAAAGCGCGAGGAGGCCGAGGCCGAGGCCGCAGCCGCCGCAGAGGAGTCTGCAGAGGGCAGCCTGACTCGACCCAAGAAGCTCGTGCCGGCTGGCTGCGGCGACGAGGAGGAGGAGGAGAGCATCATGGACACAGTGATGAAATACCTGCCAGGCCCGCTGCAAGACATGCTGAAGAAGTAGGCTAGCTTGTTAGCTAATGCTAACGTTATCTAGCTCAGTTCATAGGCTACATTCACAAAGTTGGCTTAGATCCGGGGGTTTTTTTCCCGCCCACGTGACAGATGTGAACATTGCTTTGTAAGTAATGTTACATAACAGGAAGTTTAATCTGGCGTGTTGTTTTGGTGTTCGGACAAATCTAAGTTTTATGGTGGGGAAGTGAATCAGATGTGAAGCAGCAGTGTGAATGGCAGCCATTAGACTGAGCTAGGCTGACCCCAATGGCCAGGTGAACGTTAGCTATGCTACACTAATGAAGCTAACAGCAAGCAGATGGGCTAAAAACACAATGTTAGATGGTTTAGCCTTCTAGTCTGAGACGTTTTAAACTCCCTCCTCTCCTCTGCAGAGCTCTCTTGCAGCACTGAAAAATAACCCCCTTGTCCACCATGCTGTTCACTCAATTTGTACATAAATAAATTAATACATTACAAGCCTGAAGGTGGGCAAACAATCATAAAATATTATATGAAATTATTATATTAACTGTGTCTGTCTCCAAAAAAAAAAAAAAAAAATGATGTGTTAACTTGATAAGCCATATTTTAAAAAGGAAATTTAAACATTACTGTTGTGTGCTCCTAAAGCTACTGTTTTGTGTTGGACCATGTCTGAAATTTATGTAAAACTTTTTGCACAGTGTTACACATGCTCTGTCAGATCTATTGTCTATCTCCCCTACACATAAGTGTAATAACATTCATGTAGTGTAGTGTTTAAAAATGTTTGTATTCCCCTTGTTCAGTGCGTCTCCTTCTTACGTCTTGCATGCCATTTGTCTCGACACGTTTGTTGTGTGAGTATCTACAAACTCAACCCCCCCCCCCCCTTTTATCCTCTTCTTTGTCATGCAAAAAATATTTAAGGCAATAAGTTTCAGTGTGTTTTCACTTCCATGCAGATATAATCGTTAATAATATCAGTAATGAAAAAATGATACGTAAGCATTCAGGAAATTTCATTTACAGGTTTGCAGGGTTTTCTTTTTTGTTGTCTCATTGATTTTCGAAAAAGAATGACCGTGTAGCCGTTCATACAACAGCCAAAACCTTAAGCTTTCAGCCATAAAACCAGAACTTACTATATATATATATATATATCTATATATATACTATTACTATCAGGATCTGTAATAGGGAGCGAATACTGAATGAATCTGTATGAATAAACAGGAAACATGAGTTTTATATTAAGCGGATTAAACCTGAAGGTGGACTACATGTCTGGATTTTGCATCATGTGAAGAAAGAGACCACCCTCCCTCAATACACACACAAACACAAACACGGTGAGTTTGGCTACTGGTTCAGTTACACAGAAAAACCAGAGACAAAGTGATGCTTGATTTAGTTCTTATTGTTGGTTTAGGTGTGAGAATGAGCCGCTGAGCGCGGCGTGGAATGCCATTGAGCAATAAAGGATTATCATGTATGTTTCTGCCTGAGATTCAATAAAAACTTTAAACCTTGTTCAACAGACATTAAAAAGGTGTCATCTTCTGTTCTCTGGGACGTGTGGTGGGCTTCACAACAGAAGTGAACTAGAGACCCTATTGGCCATTGGGATCACACCAGCCGCTCAATCGGGCCAGGGGTGGAACGTGTGTGTGTGTGTGTGTGTGTGTGTGTGGGGGGGGGTTGAGGTTGAGACCCGATCGAGACGACGAAATCTGTCGACGAACAAAAATATATGCAACTGGCAGACTACTCAAAACTACTTCTGCATAGCAGGTGACTCCAGGACCACATGATGACTCACAAGGGGAGTTTGTATTTTTCATATTTTAACAAAATATTTTGTTTCATCTTCATAATTATTAGTATGTACCCAAGATCTTCCATTGGTCATTTCAAGTGTTAATTGTAAAAACAAAGTTGACTTGGTGTATTTCCTCCATATTGCCACAGGGTGGCACTGTTGTCTATATATGGGAGTACACAAAGACATATTTCAAGCTTTATTTATTCATTTATTTGCAAAAATTCAACCCAAAAAGGTGAACTATCTAACAAAACAGAGTCAACCACTAAAATATCAGAAAACACTAGACAGAAAAAAAAAGAACTGGACACACAAAGACTGAGTGGCCTCTTTTGCCTCTCGGCATTCAGTTAATTATTGTTTTAGAAATGTTTACATCCATAATTACCAGTTGTTGAACAACACCCACAGCACTGATGAGAGAGTAACAAAGCAGTGATATTAAATAACATTAAAAGGGTTATCAGACCCTTAAGCATGCTGTCAGTATCGGGTGCAGTTGTTGGCATCGAGGAAACATGGATGACATGGTCAGGTCAGATTTACTTTCCAGTCTGCAACTTTTGTTTTAAGCAGGAAACATACAGACACATTTCATTTTGAGCCGTTAAAACGTAACAAGAGTGCAGAGCATTTGAAGGTGATTCTTACTGGAGCAGTTTTATTCTCAGAGAGCAACATATCAGCTCTAGTTTCTTGTGACATCAGCGGTTCATTGTGCTGTTAGGTTGAATTAAGTGCTGCAAAAATACACTGCAGCGTAGATCATCACCAGCATGTAGTTGGAGTTGGTAACAAGGACATAAACATGTATTCACAGACATGTTTCGCCCTCAATAAGAAGAACATGTCCGTCGTGAACTCTTAAAGGATTCATCCAGTATCAGAGCGTAAAACAATATTTCAGATGTCCGGTGTTGATTTAAGACCCGTCACTGCTGAACAAGCATTTTTAAAACTGCTGTTAAGGTTTGTTTTATTCAAACACAATGGATGGACTTGTGTAATCTGACAGCTGTAAAGACATTAGAGGTTTCCTGTGTTTGTAAATCTGTCCACTGAAATATTCCCAACCTGGACTGAGGCGTTAATGTGAAACCTGTAACAAACAGAAAGTACCAAACATTTTGTATCAAACCACACAGTTTAGCTCCAGTAAATGTAAAGTAAACACAAACAATCAACAAACCAGACCTGGTTGAAAGTGTGACAGAAGTCCATTCAAATACTCGCTGTTACTTTGGGTTATTACAGTCTGACTTGTAGACAAGAACTTCTATAAAACAACACGGTGTTTGTGGGATATAATACAGAGGGTTCATAGAGTATTTAATGTCAGTAAATAAAAGTTGGCAGTTGCCATTCCCAGCTAGCGGGAATGCTCTGCAGGGACTGCTAACATACATGCTGGATAGTATAACAACGTAAAGTGTAATTAGACTGTACATTTTCATTTACAGAAACATTTTTACACAAGTTATCACGCTGTCCAGCACAATCAATCCATGAAATGAAGTGTTTGAGTGGCTTCTGATTCTTTACCAGGTCTGTCACAAATAAATATATTCCGTATATAGCGACAATATCTCACAGTAGCCAGGTTTATAAATCTAATAGTCCATTACTGAAGAATTTATGTAGCTTAGTATTTGAGGACGGTGAGTCACTAAAATACTGTTTACACCGAATTAGATAAAAAGGCTGCGACATCAGGTCAAAATCCAATATCACAGAGTTTTTATTAGGTCTAATGAATTGAAACGGGACATTGACTTTGGTGAATAATTGGTATAAAATACCTATTATGTCAACCTTGAAGCAACAGTAGAAGCTTTTGGGAACAGCAGTAATGACAGCATAACTCATTTACAGCATAATAATAATATTAATAATTAGAACTCATTCAACTCATCAATAGAAACAGGGATTTCTAAAAGTGTTCTGTCACCTTTCAGTGGGCCCACATTCAAAACCACACCTCCAGCCCCCTTTATTAAGGACTCTAGACTCTCGAAGGAGATATTAATGGATTCACAACGGCAAAGCCTTCCCTGGTGATACAAAGGCCCACGCCTCGAACCCAAGTCACAAATTCAAACTCCAGAGCACAAAAATAAGCACACAATCTCGTCTTTTGCACTGAAAGCTCAGAAGGACACTGCTGGTAAATCCCATTGGATCCTTTAATATTTACTAAAAAAAAAAAAAAAAAGAGTCTGGAAAGTAGAAAGAGTTCAGAGACCATTGAACCTGAAACGATGGGCGTGGTCTTCTGGGCAGGCCATCGGAGGGTGCGAGGCTGGAGAGGACGGGGGTTGGAAAGATGGTAGAATGGGGTCGAAGGGGAACGAGGGCAGCCCTGGTCTCTACACATTCGTCCGACACTTAGGCAAGATGGGGCCTCCCTCAAGCCTTCTCTTTCTTACTGTAGATGGAGGAGAGGAGACAGATGGACAGATGAAGAAATATAGCGGTATGAGGGGGAAGGAGGAAGGAAGGGAAGCCCAGAGAAAGAGAAAGATTAGAAAAACAGACATTTATCATCATCGTAAACAACAACTTTAGCTAAAGCATTATTTCCACGAGTAAAGCAAAGAGATGCAACTGAAAAACGGTAACAAGTTTCAAAAAGCAGGACAGAAAGATTAAAGTTACAGCTCTTTGTCTTCAAGTGGCTTTAGCAGGAGCTCTTGGAGGAGAAAGCAAAACAGCAGACGAGAGTAAGACATTGATAAGAGAAGGGCCGGATTATCCCTTCATGGCCCCGGGACAAGTGATCATCATTAATTTGACTGATCACATGATCATATTTAGCAGAATGCACCATGTAACAATATATATATATATATACTGAAACAACAAGGGCCAAAACTTAAGTACTCTGATTTAGCAGTGCACACCCTAGAACTAAATCAATGCAGCAGAAACAGAGATATCGTCCTCATCAAAACCCGGTGGCTACATTACCCACAATGCAACTCAATCGTCCACAGTTTGGTCAGAAAGTGTCATGCTAGTAGCGGCTAATGGCCTGGTACAGAGGTGTGGTAAACTCACTTCTCTCTAACGCCAGAACCCAAGAGTTTCTCCGTTTACAAACTTGCTGCAAGAGACACCACCTGAGGTGATTCATCAAATGTCTGTCTTTGGTGCCACTAAAAGCTTTAACGAACTTCTTTCACATATGCATCCTCAACACCTGTAAACAGAGTCTGGTGTGTAAAACTTGCATTCTTAGGTCACTTTCCTTTCAGTTTATACTGTGCTTTAGTGGTGCATAAAATATGACCAAAAACATCTGCAATGTATTAAATGATCACAAACAAATTGCCACACAATGACCCTGACAACTTCGGGGCCACCCAGGGTTTGGGGAACCAGAGCAGTTGCCCACTTTGCCAGTTTAACAAAGAGTAGAAGAGAGGACAGAGGTGGAGCAGAAGAAGAGGCCAAATGCCTGCAGACAATGCAGGAACAGAAGAAACAGCACATCTGGATAAGAGAATGATCAAATGAGTAAAAAGGCCAAAATGAAACATAAATAAAGTGGCCAAAGAATAGATCACAGCACTGATTTATTACTGGGAAAGTGATGCCAAAACAGCAGATGCAGACCATGAAATTGTTCTAGCATGAAATATATTCTGACTATGGTGGGAACCGTGGAGCCAACAGCAGCTACATTTGGGAGCCGCTGTCAGTGGTGTCTGCAGATCAGAGATGACTAAAAGCTGAAAGGAGGGAAAGTGATGATAGGTGTTGTGGAGAAGCAACAGAAACTCCCGGAGGAGTATGACAGACGGTGGCAGAGATTTCCAGCGGTCTGGAAAAGAGCCAGGTGATGTTGGCAGAAGAAAGGCAAGGCTGTGCGCTGTTGTTTTTAAATATTTCTTTTACTTAGTCTTGGACTTGAACTTTTTCCCAAAGGCCCTTTCCAGCTCAGGAACAGACAGAGTGAGGGTGAAGGAGCCGTCCGACTCCGACCTGACGACTCGAGCTTCAAGATGGCGAGGGGAAGGAAAACAGTACGACAAGATTATGACACATGGACTTAACTTCAAGTGGTTTGCGACACAACACGAGCACAAATGTAATCATAATTCCTAAACCTAAAAACGGGTTGCCAGGTTACGTTCAAGAGCATTCACAAACAAACGTAACAAGTGCTTATTTTGTGCCGCTTAAAAGTGTAAAGGAGGTAAAATCAACTCATTAGTACAAAGACAGCAAGTCAAATAACTACTGTTGTGCATGGGCAGAGCAAGAACCATCTCGTCCACCGGTTTCATTTCGTTCTCTCTCTCATGCACAGACTCTTTTCTTAGTGCTGATGTCATAACTTAGGAAGCCCCTGTTTTGATTTGCCGGGTCTCTCTGGCCATACGACCGAGTTAACGGCCGATGATATCACTCTGATCCTTCTATTAGAGTCTGATTAAAGTAGAACCCGAGGAGATATAGTGAAGATAAAGTGTCAGCACTGACGCACGTAACAACCGACACTGCCAAATGCAATACTACTGAAAGACTGTGTACAAGTTAGATAACCGCCATTACTGGACCAGGACCAGTTCGTGAACTTTTGTCATGTTCCAAATGCAGTTTCTCAGAGCAGACATAAAATGAGTCGTGTGCGTGTCAGTAAACCCACCCAGGTCGTTGTTGTTCATCATGGCGTTGGAGCCTCGGAGGCGCGGGCCCTGCTGGGTGAAATGATATCCAAACTTCAACAGCGTGGTGTTTTTCTCCAGCATGCTGGCTATCTCCATCTCCACCTTGTTGCCCAGCGGCTGGCTCTGGAGTTGGGAGAGAGAGAGAGAAAGGAGGAGGAGGAGGAGGAGGAGGAGGAGACACACAAAGAGTTGTGTAGTGATGATCAAAGACGGTGATTTTTTTAGGTCGCGATATGGAAACGTTAGGCGAAAGAGACAAGAAGAGGAGAACGCAAAATGACTGCCATCCTCTCCGCAAACTGCGCCGCCACGGATGAGGCGGTGATCTCCATGGCAACAGAGGATGAAGAGGCAGGAGTAACATGCTTCATCAGGATCATTCAACAAGTTCAACTAATGAGCGCGCTTGTTAGTCACAGATGTACAACTATGCAGTATGACACATGGCAATGCAATCAGGGAGCATTAGACCGAAGTGGCAACGATGGCCTGTGTACACTACCTGACACACACACACACACACACACACACACACACACACACACACACACACACACACACACACACACACACACTCTCATAGCTTTGTTTACAATACGAGACTCAATGCTCAATTGCGATTTTTTCCCCCCCAGATTTGATCTTTCTTCCTACACAGTTCACATTTAAAGTGACTGATATGTGACATCAGTGTCAACGAATCTCTTCCTCGCATGCAACCAATAACACACACACACATGCACGTTGAAACAACAACAGAAAATGTTACTTTTGAGAGAGAGACATTTAGAGACAAAATGACGTCACACACACGCGCGTTCTCTTAGCAGCTCTTAGCAACTATTGTTGGTTGGATTTGGGCCACTTTTACTTGTCATGTGAACGTAGCCGATGGGTCTGCATCAATACTATGCAGGGGACATTATCTGTGTGTGTATTGACGTGCGTGTGTTGGTACCTGATTGTCTATCTTGAGCTCCTGCAGTATGGTGTTGTACTGCAGTGACGCTATGAGGAACAGGATTCCTGTCCCTGTAATGAAGTTGGACTCAACGTTCAGGCTCTTCAGCGTCGTGTTCACCTTCAACATCTCTGCCAGGGCCTGAGGAAACACACATAACTGTATCTTTTTTTTTTTTGCAATAAAGCATGATTGTCATTAAAATAAAGAGTGACTCAGATAAACCCTGATAACAAGTGTTAATAATAGAATGATACCATAACTTGGGACTTGATTTCAGATAGACGGAGCAATTAAGCAGGTAACAGGATTCTGTGCTGTATTTTGTAACAGTTATGACTTACGAATGCGACCGGGTCGTTGCTCCTGGTTCCTACAATACTGAACCTCTCCACCACAGTGTTCTTCACCAGAGCCTCAGCGTACGCCTTCAGAGTCTTAACGGGGATGTTCTGGGTACAGAGAGACACAAACATTACAGCTCAGAAAATGTCAATAAATGAATGTTCTTCACATAAATTCCCAATTTTTTCACATTACAGAAACATTACTTCATTTTGCCAATGGAACGCCTAAAATGTGTTTCATGAAATAAAATGTGCTAGAAATTCAGTTTATGCTGTAAAAAGAATTTCATATTTGCAAAATATTAAAACAAACTTATTTCATTTAAATAACTTTTTAAATCCCATCTGCAAAACTAAAATGTAAAAACTAAATTGTGTGCACCGAGGTTTGTTTGTTTTTGCTTTTTGGAATATAACCAAACATGATATGAATCTTTTGTGAGACAACATTTAGTTTCCTTCAGTGGTACTAAAAGTACTAAAACAAATACCACCGGGGACAGATGATATGTTTCATATCAGATGTACAACTTTACAACATGTAGGTTGTCAGAATCCAAAATAAATCAAAATCAGACCCTGTTGTTTTTGAGTTTAACGATACAGCAGTATCAAACTCATATCCTCATACACACACACACACACACACACTGTTACCTTGATGTTGTTGAGGTTGACCTCCACCAGGTCAGGGTCATTTCTCTTCACTCTCAACAGGGTCTCTTCTACGTCAGTGGAGTTGGGCTCCTCATCGGGGACTGGTTTGTACTGGGTGCACTGGATCACACCTACACACACATGTACAGGACACACAGAGGATATATGCTGATCGATGAACATTTTCCAATGGATACCACGGCATACATAGTTGTATTTGTTTTATCCCACTTAACAGGCAGTCAGTTTACGACTGGATTATATATCTAGCGTGGTCCACTTATTTTTTCACTGTGTGCTTTGGAAACACTGACCTCAATTGCAGTCCTGTGAAACAATGCTCAAACGATAACAAAAAAAAAAAAGCCAAACACTTTTTCATGCCCTGTGTATCGGCACTGAAAACAGAGCAGCTGACAATTTCAGCAGGCGAATCAGAGGTTTATAGCTAGCGCTCTTTATGAGAGCCGGTCATATTTGGAAGTGAGACGCTCGCCCCCTCTGTCTCTGTTTGGAGCTGGAGCAGAATCTATAGGATGAGCCTCCACGCAACATAAACAATGGCTATTAGCACGTGTGTTTCTCTGTGTGTGTGTAGTAATGTACCACAGTTTACACTGTGTAGTGGAAGACGACGGGTAGGCAGATGAATCATCAGTTATTCCCTAAAGGAGCTATAGGACAACGTATGTATACACTTAGCAGCATCTAATGAATCAGTACTTTGTGTAACTATAGTTGTGCATGCGAGTGCAACAGAAAGACTGAGCCGAACATCTTTGGTAAAATAAACCAACATTCTGCCAACGTGAGATCATTCCGCTTGATTCTGGTCCAAGTCAACTTCGCTTCAACATTTTTCTCGAATGAGGCGATTCTTTTTCTGCAAACTAGTTGAGTGATCTGCGTTATTTTAGGATACTTTTACTGCAGCCCTGCAGCAAATACGTCCGAGTGAAGACAAGCTCATGCAACTGGCGGATTACAACAAATATAAGTTACATAAGTTTCAGTACGTGCGTACTAACGTGTACATGTGTATGCGCGTGTGTTTCACGTACTGTTGAGGCCTTGCTTGTTGACTATGGTGCTGCTGGCCAGGGCTTCGTAGTACTGCTGGTTACTCATCAGGGTGTGCATACCCAGGATGGCTGGAAGACAATAGAAAGACTCAATGAGGATGGAAAGAACAAAGGGCATGAACAGAGAGTCAGAGGAAGAAACACAGAGAGAGAAAGAAAGAGGAATGCTGAAAAAGAGTCTATAGATTTGATGATTGACTAGTTACAGCCGTACAGTTGACCACCATGCTAATACAGACAGCACATCGGCACTTGCAGCATCACGAGCAACTCACTGTCCTTTTCAACGATCAAGCTGAAAGGTTTAAGTTAATGGGGAACATGTACTGTTTTTTGAACGAGCAGCTACTCTGAGGACGCTAGACAATACGAGATAATGATCAACTCGTTAGTTTGACAGAGACAGAAGAGAACAGAGAGACATAAACAGTTAGGGAACACAGGCTACCAAGCTGCTCTTTGTAGAATTGGGGAACGTTACCTTCATCACCTCCGGGGGCTCGTGCTCTGAAAATATTTCTGCAACAGCATTGCTTGATAATACATTTCTGTCGTGCTAATGCAGGGAGAATAGACTCTGGTAGTGGGTGAAACTAAATGTGTTTACATATTGTAATGTATCCCTCTCAATAGAGATTTAATGTAGCATTTACAGTTGTGATCTCTCAATTTACCACAAGTGAGATTTTAAAAAAGCCTGCTGCTAAATCCATCCGGATCACTCGTTAAAACGTCAGTCACCTTTACAGCAAATATGTTAAAAGTTTGTACATGCAACAAGTAATGACATTCGCCATACATTACACTGAATCGATGATGTGTAATGCATGTACAGCGCAGACTCTGTGTCCCTGAGTGAAGCTGCAGGGGTTTTACTAAATGTCTGCCTAACACGAGCTGACAGCACGAACATGACAAGAGGGCCAGAATCGTTCCATGCAAAGACAAATGTGTGTGCAGTCTACAGATACCCCGGGTGATGTTCAGCTAGTGAACCGAGGTATCCAGCAGGGATGGAGGAGGTGGAGGAGATGGAGGGATGGGGGGGAAGGGTGGAGGGAAGATGAAAAGGATTGCTAGAGGAAACGGAGAAGATTTGGATTTAGGAGAAGTAAATGAATGAGGGGAAGTCGAGGCCACCGATTAGTGAGAGATGAAGATGAAGAATAGTGAGACTCCTGCACTTTAGCGCATGAGATCCAGGCCATGAATATCCTTCATTCAGATGTTTTTATGTATGTATATGGGAGAGTGTCTGTTTTTTTTAAAGTTAGTTTTTAGTTTTAAAGAAAATCCGAAATCCAAAAGGTTCATTTTCTTTTTTTTATAAATGCTATAAACACATGAAAAACAGAATTCTTCACTTTCTACTATTGGAAGTATGTTCTAAACTGCCTTCACCACGAGGACTCTGATAATTGTAAAACTGTGGTAAAAGTAGTGTCTTCTTAAAGTTGCAGATATAACAACTTTTTGATAAAGAGACACAAAACAATTACAAAACACGTGTGCATATGTGGTTGAAAATAGGAGAAAAATGAAACCTCTGAACCTGAAACGCATACACTGTATGTATATAGGAGATGTGAGTGGGTGTGATTGAGATACCTGCGATATCACAGAGTTCAGCATCAGATGCACTAGCCAGGGCTTCTTCTAGCTCCGGCTCCAGGGTCACATTCTCCATGATGGGGTCCACCCTCTTTTTTGGCACAAAGGTTTTCCCTACAACACGAGTGGATGGACTCAATACAGAGACATACACTACAACGACCAGCATCCCTGGCATGTAACGATTAGCTAATAACATTTTGAATATATTGTATTTGCTGGAGACTTGTGAGTTAAAGGTCCCCCTCCGCGCTCACAAAAGGGTTTAATTAATCTGACTAATTAGACCTTTGCAACTAATGTCAATCCAGCCTCTACACAGTCCTGAGGAGGAGTCTAATCAGGCAAATAGGTGAAAACACCTGTGTGGGTGGGCAATAGGAGTGCAGGGCCATTTAACATGACAAATAAATAACACGGCGGCTGAACACTTTATTATATAACGGTATATGAAATTAGCTGAGTACAAGCATGTACTTCTACATGTTTTCCATGCAGCAAAACACGACAAAATGGCCTTGACATGGCATTTTGATTTATCGTAGTCGGCAAAGTACAGGTGTAACTTATAATATTAACGATGTCTCCGTTCCATTCAAGTATCCGACTAAGACACAACAGCGAGCCAGCATGTAGCAACAGGAGGCTCCAAGTCTGATATATATGAGAAGAGTTACAGAAACACGAAACTCTGAGATGACATGAAGGCATCAGCGCTGTACAGACAGTACAATTGGTTAAAAATACATCTATTTGTAGGCAGAAGAACAACATTTCCTCAGTAAGTCAGTATGAATTACAGAAACAATGAAGACCATTGACTTGTTAGAAGCTTATATTGAAATGGAGAATATACAGACATAATTGTTTCAAATTTAAATGTCAAACTAAGGTGAAGAATGACACAGAGATCTCTGACGAGCTCTCTTACATAACAGCTGAGCCTATCACTTCATCTCGTCACACCTGGCCGCAGGCTGTCGTCACCGGGTCTGTCTGACTGCAGAGACCCAGGCGTCTGTGTCTTTATTGACAGGTCCGCTATGTCTGCGCTCGTGCGATCAGCTCCTCGAATTTCAGCCAGACGGTTACCCAGATGTTACCCAGAGCTCTTAGCCGCTTTTCGCGTGCTCTCTCTCCGTCCCAATCATACCACCGCACCCGCAAATCACAGTTAACAGTTGTGACAAGTAAATCGACCCGTTTCAAGCCCAGCTATGTTGCAACCCTCAGTGGGCTTCATGTCAGTCAGTGGAGGGTGAGCAGAAGGGGAGTGGTGACAGACAGCTTCAAACAGGGTGCAGTAACTCCGCTCACATGCTCCGTTTCGAAGCCGAGTGTTTTAACTAGATGTTAAAAGCCTTGCTCAGCGGTACCTTGACTGTACTAGTTGAGGGAAGGGAGATTGTTACTCATTCACTTTCCCCACCTGCAGTTTTGCAGCTGCTCTTTTAAGTGCACTAAAGCAAAGAAGTTCATGACGACAGTGACGGCACGGAGACCTACTAGAGTTTCACATAGAGATGTTTGGTATCTCTCGCCATCCGTCACGCACCTCTGTGTCCACACTGGACCGGTGATGACAGGCCCCACAAGGCCTGGTGTGGGGTAGTCTGGAACCAATCACCCTTCAGGGAATTAAAAAAAAATCCTCCTTGTCGTGGATACCTGAGATGCCCATGCTAGACGTGTGAAATCAGTATTTTGTAGGACACCTTTTAAGGTTTGCGGCTTACTTTAGGTCATGATTAATTTGAGCGTTGATTTGAATCTTCTCCAACGTTGAGCATAATATCCACCCTCCCCTCAGCTCACATAATTGTATTACTCTGTCATGTTTAATATTTAGGGAAACCAAACAGTATTGACATCTGGTGTTCTTGTCACCTTTTCACTTGATAACAACAGGGCAAGGAGCAAGACAAAGCCACCTTTTGATCTAAGTAGGTCAACTATGTAGGTTAACAAGTCCGTACCTCTCTTCTCCCCTGTGAAGGGCACCAGGTCTTCTTTGTCAGGATGCTCTTTGGCCTGTTTCTCCAGATGGGCCAGCAGGTTGTCTCTCTGAAACATTCCCGTCGGAGATTTCTTGGTCTGGTCCTTCTGCCGCATCCCAGCTGGCAACAATGCATTCTAGACAAGAATGAGAATTTACGTCAGACTGGCACTGCGTATTAGGGGGAAAAAGTAGTTTTTTCCCGAATTAGTCTCACTTCCTTCTTTCAATCACAGCAGTTAAGTCCTGACATGCCATCCAGTGCAGAACAATGTAGAACAAATTACTCCAGGATGTTTTCCTTGCTACAGTAATACTACTGTATAAAACAGTAATCTCCAATACACATCTTCCAGGCACCAGTGGTGCCATTGCGGACTCCAGTTAGAGGTGAGGAACGAATCCTTTGTGCATGGTTTGTGGCGATTTTAATGTCAGAAAAAAATCAGTCTTTTATTCTGAAAAATTAACAGTTAAACAGTTTTCATTTAAATGGATGTCTGTTAAGTTACTATCTTTGCCGAGTGAGGACACAATGGTGATTGAGCCTACGGTCCACTGATTTAAAAAGGCCTTCCCTTTACAGTATTACCAACTGGGTAACATTCCCGGGAAATACCACAAGCGGCGATCTCTGAGAAAGTGAAATCAAAAACACACCTGCAATCACCACACCTGTCGCGATAAGTGACAACGAAAACAGAGATCTTTGCGATTGCCGGAAAGTTAGGACACCTTTAACCCGCTGTAGCATGCACATTCTCCACATTTATTCATGGCAATGAGAATAAATAAGATCATCACCAGATCAATAAAATAGACCAAGGAATGCACGGCACATTAGTGATTGGTAAGTTTAAAAGAAACCCGTTTAAAAAACAAAAGTACACAAACCCACGGCAGAATACACGTTTACTTTTCATACATTTTGCAGGTATTCACTAACATGAGACCAAATTGTGGCCAAATCTGAAATGTATTATTTGTAATACATTATTTTAACAATTTTGTGGACTTTTTAGGAGGGGGACAACAAAATATGATAAAATATTACACCATTAAAGCACAGTGAGATAGATCTTTGGTGGTACAATATCTTTGCTCTGGATAAGGTAACTCCTACATCCTATCTCTACTCCAGCCCAACACAGAACCAAGACATTTCCCAGAGCTTTGCTGCTCGCCACGTTATTTTCAACCTAAAGCAGCATTCAAAGCCAAGCTCTTACAAGTGCTACTTATAGCTTCATATCTTATCAGTCCTCTCAGCACTCACAGGCTTCTCTCTCCTCATGACTCTCACTCTCTCAGCAAACCTTTTTTCGACACACATTCACCATTATTATTTGGTTTGAGATATACTCTTTGGAAGTAAAAGAACAAGTTCTCTTCTTCTCAGTTTCTCTCATTCAGTCTTTCCAGTGGTGGCCTGTAAATGTTCACGTGACTTACAGAAGTATTTATAGTAAAGCCAGGAGTATAGCACACCGTCACTGCCAAGCTTTTCATGTCACACTTTATATCAGCTGCTGATAACGGGTCCCCAGCATGTTATTTTTACCAGCATGAGACTCTGTCTCTCTGACTCCTGTCCTTTTCTAACTGTACCTTCCCCTGTCATCCCAACACCTGCCTCGTTTGGTCTCTGTCTCTCTCCTCCTCCCAGCAGCCTTAGCAGTCATCTATGAGCACATGCATGCCACCTGTACAGTTACAAGCCTCCACGAACACAAGGCTGAGACGCAGGGGTTAACTTTTTTTCGGCATGAGAGTAAAATGTGACATTTTCTTTTTAAAGAAGCAATAACTGATGGTAATATTTTGGGGGGGGGGGGAGTAAAGAGGAGGGTTGACCACCGTGAAAAGTTAACATGGCAAACTTGGCAAAATGCTGCTTATTTACGCATCCAGAAGTCTCAAAGCAACATTAGCATTAAAATGTTCACTAAAAATATGAGGTAGTGCGGCTTTAAGTTATGTAGATGAGTGAACATTTTCTCTTTAGGTTGAACGTTCCATGATTTGAGAATTGTCACCAGTAATCTCGGTACATGAGACTCGTATTAGCCTATTCCAGATTTGAAAAAGCCTGTTAGAGCTTTAATCCAAAAATGTCTCCAATCTTAAGGGAAGTGACGGCTTAGAAAATGAAACAATATGATCCAGTCCAAGTTGTAGTGTGTCATTGTATGACTGTGAGGCAGTACTGTATGTACAAAAAACACAAAATGTTCTCAAGATGATTGACTATGAATTGATATTTCTACAATAAGAGTGAAGCTGGCAGACATTTTTTTTGTCCAACATGATGACTTTTTTGTTTTTTCAATGGCTTACTGGAACTGATGTGAGACGTCTTGCTGGGAAGGTTACAGTGTGTGTCAGAGCAAAGGGGCACTTTACTGTTGTGAAACGGGTTACCCTCATAAACAGGCACAAACAAGGTAAGCGACGCACGCACTGCCTCCCACTGTTTCCTCTGTTTACGTCATGGAGTCCCTCCGGTCCCTCACTGCTGGCATCGGTCTCGCTAACACACACACACACACTTAGTCCTGCACATTATACCGTTCCAGTCATCCCCTTGGCATTGAGGGGGAATCCAGCCACTTTATGAGCAGTCAGACATTCATCAGAAAGCTATTACAGCTGCTGTCACCAACTCGACCCATGACACATCACTGAGGGTACCAAGCTGGCGGTGGATGCATCGAATGCAGCAATAAACATGCCATAAAAAGTAACAGAAACTAAATACGAGTATAACTTATGATGTACTGCACCTTCCGTAGCATAATGACAACATGATATGCTGCCCTGCCTCCAATGGACTGTTCTTAATTCTAACAGAGAAATACTAAGACAAACCATTATTTACATCACAGCCATGTACTCGTGAGTGATGTGCGTTCAAGGGCATTCACATGTGTTGCACTTGAAATGAAATTAGCTTACAGCGATGCAGATGAAAACACAAGGACGTGTAGTAGCAGTATATTACACCAGGGGCCTGTATTAGGCCTATATGACCCCATAACTCTCCACTGACAACAACATAGTAACAGAAACTCCTCCTTAGGGACTTTACATTATAAACTTACATCAGGATCCAGCTCCTCTAGTTCATCCTCTAATCGCTGCAGATCCTCCTCTGACAGTTTCTTCAGCAGCTCGTCCTCGTCTATGTCCCTGTACTTCTCCATCTCTTTCCTCATCACCGACATGATGGACAGCAACGCCTGCAAGGTGGATAATGTCTCTTCAATTTGATTTCTGAGATGTGTCTTGAGATGTGAGATTCAGTGCTGCCGGGGTAAATATACACAAAGGGCTTTGGGAGATATTCAAAGCGCTTCCCTCACCTCAATCACCCCTCCAAACGAGAATAACTAATTTTAAGAGATTGGGAGCCTGCAAGACCCTGCGAGTTTGAGAGAGAAATAAAATCTTTATCTGTGGAGAGACACAGCAGAGAAAGCACTAACAACATTTATGGTGAGTGTCACTTGTTGTTACTGTTTGCTGTTAAAAAAAAAACTGCACTCACCTCAATGGCCCCCAGCTCAGGGGTGAAATAAAAGCAAAAGGCAGCCAAGTGCCTGTAGCGCTCCTGGGAGAGAGAGAGAGAGAGAGAGAGAGAGAGAGAGAGAGAGAGAGAGAG